ATCATCTCAACGAGCCGAATCTATGTTTAGCGTTTCAGCAAGAGCGTTATCCACAGTCAATCTTTGGCGGGATAACCGCTCTTTCTCTGCGTCCTCATGAATGCGGGCTTGGCACAGGGCTTCTTCAGTCGTAAGTTTTGTGCAGCGACATAATGGATCAGACAACCTCTCATCACTTATGCCCACGGCAAATCTGTCACGAACAAGACGATCCTCAACAAGTGGGCTGTTGTAGCTGCAGCGCTTTACCAGGTTACGTAATGCCGTGAAAAAGTCATCCATAGAATCGCCTGGCTGCTGAATGCGGCGGTGAAAATGACTTTTGTATATTTCATTCACAGGGTGCACAAACTGCGAATCCAAATTTTCTTTGACAGATGTGAAAGGAATAGTCTCCGGTGCCGATACCCTAAAGGACGAAAGGATGGATCTGGCTTGCGGTCCCATACAGTAAAGAAGTGTTCGTACCGGGGCCTTGTCGCTGGCATTGTGCAGGCCGACCACGAAGGCGTAGTCTTGGAACGTTGCAATCCACATGGGCCATTCTCCGGGGCTAGAAAACGTGAAGTTTACTGGAGGACGCAGGCCAGATATGCCCGCCTGAATGTTGTTCGCTTTGGCTTTGGCGGGGGTCGATACCGTGTCGTTAGGCATGTCAGATTAACGGTGTGATCCCACTTCTGACACCATGTTCAGTCGGGAGCTAAAAAATGAAGTGGACTGCTGGCAAGCGGAAACCAAAAGAACTCTGTTCCATCACCCCGAATTCCATATATACGCTTGGTAGACAGTAGTGCCTCCTTATGGCCACATGCTACAAGAAACACTGGCAGTGCCCTCTACAATGGATGCCGGCGAGAAACGCGATTTTCATTCACGAAAGTTCAGTATGTGGTGCCAGTACCTGGGAAGGCGCCTCAAATGCAAGCGGTGAGTGCCAGCAATGTGAGGTTTGTCTGCTGCTAGGCCTAGCCGCGGCAGCGGCAACATACCTGATTTGAATTGTTCAAGCTTCATTCCTAGCGTTGATGACTTCGTCAGTGCTTCAGAGACAAAGATGTTCGACGACGAAAGCAAGTGTTAAGACGAACGCGGAAGCACATTTATCTGTGAGAGCGATGCTATGCGGAACCTCGTCAGCGGCGCAGTATGCCCCAACTGCGGGCTGTGCGAACTGTCCATTCTAGTATCGGCAAGTAGACGATAAGGACCGCATCGTTTTCGGAACGTTATTGCCAATATGACGCATGTGCTGCAACTGTTGTTTCATCCATGTACACGCCAAACCACATGTATCTGTCATGCAGTGGAAATGAGGAGACGTCCGCCAGTCGCAGTGCAAAGGACAGCTTTGCCCGAAACCTGAGGTTCGTGGTCGCACCACATGCGGTCAGCACCAGACACGAGCTGCTTGTGCGGGGTTCTGTTTAACCCTTGGTGCTCAAAAACTAGCACACCACAAGATATTTACTGCCGTTGGCAAAAAAGTGCATACCGCCGCTGATAACCTCGCGCGAGCCCGGAAGCATTGGCTCATCGCTGCAGTACCGCAAAAAAAAAAGAAAAATTCCGCCGGGAAGAGGCAGCTCATAGAAATTGTCAGGGTCTAACATATGGTGCTGGGTAATTTTGAAACTGTGAACTTTTTCTAGACAGCATTGCTGACATTCTCTGTGAATTTCATGCAGATTGGTTGAAGAGTATAATATTAAACATGTTTTGAACTTTCGAACCTGTTTTTCTCAGTTCCTCATTTTTCAGCCTTTTTATAGTTTGTGCACTGAAATTTATACGCTTTATGTAGTCGAATTGGAATGAAACTCAGCATGCTTAAAGTTTAACATGTCCTGAAATCAAACAATCAACTTCCAGAGGTCCCCAAAGCATATGCTGCTAGATCATTTCAAAAGCTTGTTCCTTTAGTATGGTAAAACTGAAACTCGGCATTAGATTTTTTTTCTAGGCCAGCATACATATGTTACACAATGTTTCTTTGCTTTATTGAATTCCGCAATTCATTACGAGCAACATTTGCTATTTTTAGAGCTTTCTTGTACTTAATATTGTTGCCTAAGCTTGCACAAAAATTCATTGTTTTTACAAATGCATAGATTGCAAAAAATTAACTAAATGAGCTATAAAAAAATGAAAGCAAATTTGAAAAGAGGAGCTCAAACTCTGTAACTGGTGAAAGTTTCATTGAGCTGTCACAAATGGTTTCCGAGGAGCATCTCCCCTTAAGGTTAGTTATACCCCTGTCACACGGCCACCACCAAACTTTGTTAAACCCCGTCAACGTAAAGCTCCGCTAGGTAGTTCAATGGAGATGGAGTTGTATCAGTGTCACACGGCAATGACAAGGTTGCAATAGTTGCCGCGAGGGGGCTCAGCTGGCACTGTTTGAGTTTCACACAAGTATCCCAATTTCATCTCTAGGTGCTTTTTTGTGAATCTTCGTTATACGTTTTTTACGAAAACACAATATTAAGTAGGTCTGAAGGCAACAAACCATGAAATATTATTACAAATGGGAACGCATTCACTAATTGTAGCAATGCTGGCAGCGATGCTGGCCACCTTGGGCCTAACGCTATGTTTATTTACAATTGCGCTGTGCTCGGTGACTAGTTGGTTTTATAGCCCATGTACCAAAGTTCTTGTGTTTCCTTCCCTTCTGAGTGCATCCCAAGTTACCTTTGAATTAGGTCTGGTCCCATTACCTATTCCTGCAGTCGTCGAAGCAGGTGACAATGATGCAGCGCTGTCAGTCATTTCTCTCCCGGGCCCACGCAATTACGGCGACGACAAGAACCGCACGCATGGACGATGCCCTCCACACCGCGCCAAAGAAACACACGTTAGAAATGAGTACTGCAACAAAAGAACATTTAATATTGCCAAAATGTATTTATTGTTGTCGCTGCGGCAATTTAGTGCTCGAATTTTTTTCTGACCTGCCGGTACTGGGAACGAGAGTACCTCGTTCCGCTGCAAAGTGAGATTGTAGAACGTCCTTTGCGAAATGCTCCGTTTACCTTCGTTTGCGTAAGGGTTGCCGTGTGACACGGACCGCATTTTTCTTGTAGTAAGGACGAAGGAGCTAAATGGTGTTCCCGGGTGCCCATGTGACAGGGGTATTGCACTGTAATTGCAGTTGTTGTTAGATTATATAAATTACACCGCCCTATTTTGTATTGGCTGTCTTGTTAGCAAGATACTTCTGATGGGAAGACTGGACTATTTGGTAAATTCTAGCTTTGGGCTATGAAAGTTATATAGGCTGATTTATCTATGCAAGTTACGGTGTGAATAGACAAATATTTTAGATGGTTCAGCATAAACTAGTTATGTTTGCCTTACAAGAGGTGGAGGAAGTTAGACTGAATCCAAAATAGGTGTATGAAGAAGCATGAGGCAACGCTGTATTTTGTTCAGAATAAGAGAAGTTAGAGTGCTTAGGACATAAAATTTTTGCTAATAGATAAGGGCTCACTAGCCACTTATCATAACTGAAGTTATTAGTGTTAAGATCGTTTTGAAGATTAATGAACTACTTTAAACTCATTTCACAGTGCAGCCATCTACAAGAGCCTTATACATTCCATGCACTGCGAGTGGCGCGCTGCCACGCGGCCATCAGAGCAGACAGTCGCTGAGAGCCCGATCAGAACCAAACACTCTCCCTACGTCCGTTAGCACGTAGTTTATCAGAATCATGAACTGCTGCGTAGTCGATCGTACCAATAGGTACACTTCATGTCCTATGGGTCAACGTTTTGCAGTTTCTCGACTCGTCTCTGCTTTATTGGGCTGCAAAATGATGAGATCACGGCTTTGCCATGTAAAAAGTGTTTGGTTCCCACTTCCTCTGCCCTCTTGGGTTCTGCCATTACATGCCCGAGTTGGTCACCTCTGCAGGTGCAATGATCTTGTGCAATGTTCCTGCTGCCATAGAGCTGGTGAGAAAACAAACGTATCCTAGGCGTTTCAGTTCAGCTCAAAGCTGATGGATCATTTCAATGGACCTGAGTAATTATAAGCTGTCCATCTACCCTTTGCAGTGTTGAGGAATGCAATGCAAGCTCAATTAGTAGCTCATAAAAAAAGCCACCTCTTCTCCCAAATGAACTGGTGAAATTCATTGGACATCTACATTTTATAGGCATTGTTCACATCGTGAGCATCAACCCGTATTAGATCATCAGCAGGCTCTTCTCTGAAAAAAAAAATATATATATATATATATTTTATGTAAAATGTGCACCAGTGTAACTTTGACCCACTAAAAACCAGGAAATGCTTCACCACATGGCACGAGCAATAAAGCAGTACCTGAGTTTAGGTATTTTTTGTCTATGTAAATAGAAACGTTGTGCATAACATAGTTTGTTATGCTATTGCTGGGTCAGTTATCTTCAAAATGTATATTTGGAATATTCTTTCTTTTGAGTGTTTTGGCATATATAGTGTTTTTATTACACTGTTCATCAGCCATGGCAACCAAAAATTCTGCACTTTTCAAAATTTTAAGCCCTAAAATATTTTTGCTACTTTACATCTTATATTTTTTTGGAAAGACCATTTTATTATTCATAACTTTGTATACTATAGGGGTACTTTTTAAAGTGGCTAAAGTTTTCATTCCGATACACATAAAAACAAAGTAAAAGTTGGCTTGGTAAAAATCAGCAAGTTCTTTCAAATATTTGCTTTTCTGCTTAATAAAATTATCTAAAGTATTTTAGTTGCCAGGATGTATTTCCAACCAGATTGCTGCATTCTTTAACCTGCCAGAGCAAACTTTGATAAAGCATTTGCTTTATAGCAGTATGATAAACCATCTGCAAGCAGAGTCAATACTGGTAATATACTGGCTTCTGCCTTTTCATTAGCCATTTTTTTCTACTATCCTGCTTTAAGGTTATCTTTCATCGCATCTTGCCACGCTCTTGTTTCTTTTTCAGCCGACCTCAGCTTAATTTCTAATTATACACTCGCAGGTTGTGTGCAGCAACATAGAACCTGTAACAATAGCAGAGCGAAAAATGCTTGTGCATCTTTCTTTGTAATCATGTTAAAGCAAATCCACATTGTAAAAATAAGTAGAGTTGTCTCTTTTAGCATTTCTTTTTAATTGTGCCAGTAGATCATGTAAACCTCTTCAGTCAGTCAGACAGTGTAGATATTCCTCATTTATTTTTTGCCTAGAAGAACATCGTTTCCTTTTTTGTGAGGTGTACAAAGGCTGAAAGCATGATGTTTTTGTCTTGTGCAGGCGTCTGGAGTGGTGTTTTGTTCTGAGCTGGCCGACTCTCCTAGCTATGCACACCGTGTCTCTTTTGGACTGTTACACACACAAGAGTGTTGGCAGTGGCGCTGAGCCAATGCAAGTTGATGTCTCCTTTGTATTAGCAGACGTGATGGCATAATCTTGTTTAATTAACACTTTAAATAAGGTGTCTATATTAAATTGCATGCTACTTGTGTATTTAGGTAGCTACAGGCATTAATGTCACTTATTTAGTGATTTCTTACACCTGGAGGACACACACTCACAGCTTGGTGTGAGTGTGACAGAGGGGGAATAAGGGGCTGCCAGGGTACAGCTGTTTTGCTATGTGTTGATTTGTTGAGGTTAGCAGTGTACATTAATACTTTGTGAACAAACCTAAAAGGGTTCAGTCACCAACCATGCTTACTATACCTTGTGTGGTGCCCTGAGGAATCTATAGTGATACTGTGAGTCGGCCTGGTTGAAAAATATTAATCTTAATGATGCTTAGGCAAGTAGACGGCAACAAAGAGGAGCAACACTAGGGAGAGCTCAATTGCGCTTGTCCTTGTGTTGCTCCTCTTTGTGCCCGCATTCTTGCACTTATTAAGATACATCTAGAGTGGCCACAATATAATTTGACATACCCCATGACCTCTCCCACAGCTGTGTATTGGTTTAGAAAGAAAAGCAGACATAAAAATGTGAGATGCAATTGTTATGTCAGTTTTTCTTGAAGTGTTGTCTATGTCGAGTAGCTCATACAATCTCAAAGTTATATTCAGGTTCATACGTATTTTGTTTACAGATGTCATTGTTTTTGGATTTTCTGGTGGCCATGGCTGAAGATGTCACACAAGACACATTTGTTAGTGGCCAGTATGGTCACTGCTATGACCAAAAGTTTAGTCTTGAGAAGAGAACTATGGCCCAGAGGGCTCGAACTGTTGTTTGGAAAGAACTGTCACCATACACTCTAAAAACTTGTGAGTAGCTACATTGTGTTTGTCGATTTTCTGCCTGCTTTATGTAGTAGATCACATTGCACACTGCATGGTATGAATAGCTTTTTCAATGAAAGAGTCGTTGAGAAACTGCTTGCACAAGTTCTTGATTTTGAGCCAAACTTCTTTGTTTTCAATCTTGGGAGGTTTGGCATGGTTATGTTTCTTCTAGCATAGACTAAAGATTGTTGCCATGCAGAAAAACCCGGTTATGTTTAAATAAGTACTGACTCTACAGATGTGCCACTGACCAGTTTTGTTCTCACTGGAACAACAAAAGGTACTGAATTGTCTTCACTGCCGCAAATATAGCCTTCAAGCACATAATTGAAATATAATAAAAGTTTCTTTGCTTGTATCTCTGGTGTTCTGCATTTCTGTTTATCTAATTGTTCTCTCTGAGTAACCGAGACAAATCTAAGGGACTGACAAGCAATGTTGCGTGCTCCAGCATAAATAAGTTCACACTGGTTCAAGCATACTGCTGCCCGTTTCTTTTGTTGCAGCTTTTGCTCGCCGTACTCAATAATTTCATTTCCTGAATCTTATGCCCTTCGATATATTCTTGATTGTTTTAAGTTTTCCTGGATTTTTAAAATGCACTTTATGTGTCTTTGCACAGAAGCAAGGCTGAACAACTCAAGAAGGAAGTGTGTAATCATGTATTTTGTTGCATTATATTTGTTCCTTGTTTTGAGCATCTGTACTCATTCTCTCTGTCTCAAAAACAGAGACAGCATTACTTATAAATAATTAATGAATCAAAAATTACTATTCATAGTTTTTACAAACAAGTGGTAGGGGTGTTCAGGGAAACCTGGATAATTGGGAGAGCATGGGCTAGGATGAGCATATAAACAACTTTAATTGTAGATGTAGATAACATCTGCATCGATGTGATATGATTCAAACATTCTCAGTTAAAAAGCACCACTTTTACAAGCAGGCACATGTGGTATTCATTATGGTGGAAAATGTGGTGCAGATCACAAGCAGTTGCATGAACAGGTTACCATGAAGCCAAATAACACAAAGCATGTGTGATTGAACGAGAGCACAACCGATTTCTTATGCGTACATTTGGAAATAAATTTGCATACATGATGTGTCTCTTTCCAATGCATGTCAATTGAAATAGTATCTCAAAGAAGCTTTGCCTAATGTATTTCCGAACAAATGCACTTGGTCTGATAAAACTCTTTTTTAAGTTTTTTGCCAGTAGTACACATATACTGTTGTGCCAAGGTTTCGCGTTTCACATGGAAAACTTGACAAAATATGTTATATAGCCTGTAGCACCAGTAAATGGCATGATCTGCTCCTATTGTGTGCACAGACTTGGCAGGCTGTGGTTGCTTTCTGGCAAGTTGCCTCCTACACTCTATTACTGCAAATAGTAGGCGTGAGCTAGGAAGTGGCCTGTTATTCAGTTCAGGTTATTTTCCTCAATGACCCTCAATTGTCATGTATTACAGAATGTTAGTTACTGCATTGATTTTCTCGCAACACTTTGGCTTGGGCATAGCGTGACTTGACGAAAGGGGAATCTCCAACTTTGGTTAGAACGAGTAATTGTCCATTTTTCAAGCTTCATATTCTAACCACTGTACCACAGTTGCTTTGAGTACTTTCTTTAGATGTTGACTAAAGGCAACATGCTTTCATCAGACCCATCTCAGAATCCACCATACCACAGTGCTTGTCCATTCACAGTGTTCATCGAGATACGATACCTGCAATGTTGGCATGGGTGCCTGAATGGCACACTAAAGTCAAATAACAATTTGAAAGCTCAATGTATGCCACCGTTTGAAACGATATTATAAACAGTAGCACCCTACTTACTAAGAAATTAAGATAAATGCACAAGAATGCTTGCAACAAAGTAGGACATTCTCAAAATGATACCGATGAAGTCAGACGAACCGTCTACAGTTAATCACTAGTAATTGATTTAGCTGCACGAAATAAAGAACCCTCTATGCATCAAGAAACGCAATCAAATGCTGCTTGTTTGTTTTTGTTTGATTCATGAAAAAAATAACCCCTGCACATTACTATGGAGAATGGCGCGAGTGGTTCAAAAATTCAATTTTCGCGTTGTTATACTGGACAGGTCGTGCTATCTAGCGGGGCGCTGTTGAACCAAGATACATCTGCCATCTTTGAGCTAATGGCAGTAAATTTATCAACGACCATTATTGCTACTGTGGCTGCCGCTGCTTTCGTTCTTTCATTCTGTCTACTAGTGTTGGCAACCGGGCAGTAAAGCCGGGCAACATTGTGCACGGCAACAGTGACGCGAGTCAGACCCTTTCTTGAGGCCGGTAGTTTAAAGTGCACTAACACAAGCGGGCCACTAAAACGTGATTTTATTTCAAAACAAGTCCTTCCTTGGCTTAAAAGTAGCCCTACAAGATATCTGGATTGCTATTTCAACAATCAACGTCGACATTATAGTTGCATTTAGTGTCCCTATGAAATAAACCCTTCCTTTTTTCCACCGGTGTTCATAATGCACTGCACTTGCTTAATTCAGATTTTGTGAGTTGATAAAGCAAAATATAATAAATATGTATGCTATCATGTGTGTGACAAAACTGAAAGTAAGCTCAGTAAAGGCTGTCTCATTGAGGGCTTGCTCACTATGGAAATGTCTTGCATGACAGCTTTCAAAGCGATAGCTCTGAAGACGATATGTGTCATGTCTTCTAACGCATGCAAAACTGTGTGCTTCTTCACATTGGAGAACCTGTGGTTGTACAGAAGTTACCTCTTTTTGTAGAACAAGAAGGTGATTTGTACCTCTAGTGCTCGGTATTTAGCAACTTCTTCTGTATCTACCGAGATTGTTTCTTCACTTATTACCTTGTTCTGTATCAGTAACCCACCACTCAGGGCAGAAATGTATACCCGGCACGTCTCATGACGTTAGGTCTGTGGTGCTGGCTTGTGTGACTTACCTACTTCTGTACATTGTTTAAGCATATTTCTTTTTTTTAACATCCTGAAGTGAAGCGTGCTGTCATGCTTTCAGCATTTTTTATTCTGAGGTGAGTGGATGAGTGACAGTGTACTAACACATTCATGTAGTACATGGAATGCATGAGCCCTACATCCAGGATTCACTTTAGGGGAAAAAAAAATGAGAGGAGTGCGTCCTTTTAGCATGGTGGATAACCCCATGCTTTCATGTTGGAGTGAATATGCACTTGCGTGCCAAGAATCGCGGACGATACTTTGCTCCTAGTATGGCATGTTTCGTCACACTGCACCTCTGTGTTAGCTTTGTAGCTGTTTTCTGTTTTGTTTAGTTTTTGTTTTTTCATAATATAGTGGTATAGTGATTCAGCGGGCCAGCATGAACAACATGTGGTGAAAAGCAGGGCATATTTGCATTGCTAGAATGAGAGAACCTCTACATTTTTTTTTTCTCAAGTGCATTACTCTGGCTTCAGCTGGCCCATTACCACTCAAATTGAACACTACAGTATTTGAGCGCATACAAGCCTTATATAATTTGTTGATTCCTTTGTCTCCCTCGCCCTTATGTGATACTCTTAAAGGGCTTTTAATATAAATGATGATGGCAATTTAATGTTTTTAATTTTCACTATGCTTTCATCCCATCAGATGTTTTGAAAGGCCAGCCAAGTCACCACTACTTGTCCCAAGACACTATTGACCGTCGAAATTTCGACTTTCTCGTTAACAGTACAGGCAGCGA